ATCAGATAAAGGCTGTCAAGATGACTCAGGAGGAAAAGATGCCTGACCTCACCCACAGTTGTTTGCTGACATCCACATTTATACTGTGGCATGCATGCTTACATATATACAGCATGCATGAGCATTTACACACACACACTCATGCACACACACATGTAAACATGCATGCACTCATGCAGGCACTAACTTACTACTGCTGATACTACTACAACTATTCATCACCATCATTATCACCTTCATCATAATATAATAGGCTGGTAAGATGGCTCAGTGACTAGGGGTGCTTGCACCCAATCTGATGTAGTAGTTTGAATGAGAATGGCCCCCAGAGGCTCATATGTTTGATTTCTTGGTTCCCCATTGGTGGAACTGTTTGGGACCGTTTGTAATCTTGCTAGAGAATGTGTGTCACTGGGGAGGGGGAAGGTGAGAATTAAGGTTTCAAAACACTCATCCTATCCTCAGTGTGTTGCTTTCTCTGCCTGGTGCTTGTGAATCAAGATATAAGGTCTCAGCCACTGCCCCAGCACCATGCCTACCTAATGCTACCATGTTTTGTACCATGATGGTCAACGACTCTAACTCTCTGAAAATATAAGCCACAAACACACTATTTCTTCTATAAGTTGTCATGGTTGTGGTGTCTTTTCACAGCAATAGAAGAGTAACTAAGACATCTGATGATCTGAGTTCAATCCCCAAAACAAACAATGTGGAGAGAATAGACTTCAGAATAGAATAGAATAGAATAGAATAGAATAGAATAGAATAGAATAGAATAGAATAGAATAGAATAAAACAAAGATAATAAATAGCAATATGTGGTCAGAAAGCAACACAACAAAGAAGGCAAGTAATCCAGGATCAAAGGACCTTAGATTCAGCATATGGCTATGCCAAAGACCCTGAAATGCTGAGATGTTGCCCCAAAGGAACAATAAAGAAAAGCAAGGAAGATACTTCAGAATGTACTAAAATAGAAGAAGCCAAAGGATAATACCAAGAAGACGTTGGCAAAGGACACACACTTCCAACCAAAGCCTGAGTCCAATAAAACATAAATTGTTGAGAGGAATGTGGGGGTGGGTGATGGTGCCCCCTTTGTTGTATTGTGTCTATTCACTAAAGCAAGCCAACAAGTGTAGCCCATACTCAAAAAGTGGAGACAACACATGACATAAAAACCAGAAGACAGGAATACTGGGGGCTGTCTTAGACGCTACTTTTCAGAGTGACTACCACTCTCCACCATTATATATAAATAGGTCTTCATTATTAAATCTATGGTGCAGATGAAATTATTTTTCCTTTGAATAACTACCTACTATTGGATATTTATAATTATAATTTTGTAATAAATACATTTTGATACATTAATTTTAATATTTATTTAACTATTTCTAGATACTCTATTTCTAGAGGTGACATTGCTGGAAGAAAAGATTGTGTGATTTTTAATTTTTAGAGCTTTTTGTTATTGTTGTTTTGAGTCAGAGTCTCACTATGTAGCTCTGGCTATCCTGGAACTCACTACATAGACCAAGCTGGCCACAAACTCAAAACAAAACAAAACAAAAAAACAAAAAAACAAAAAAACAAAAAACACCTGCTTCTGATTCCCAATGCTGGGATCAAAGGTGTATGCCACCATACCCAGCTAAGTTTTAATTATTTGAAATTATTATTTTATTATGTGTTGGTGCCTGCATACTGGTAGCCTCAGAGGCCAGAAGAGGTTATCATATTCCTGTGAACTACTCACCATGTGGCTCTTATCTGCTGAGTCAACTCTCCAGGCTCCTAAAGATTTATTTATTTTCATTTATTTGTGTGTGTGTGTGTGTGTGTGTGTGTGTGTGTGCATGTGCACACACACCTTTGTGTTGACTTGTGTACCAAGTGTGTGTAGGTATTGTGGGGGCCAGAAGAAGGCATCAGATTCCCTGAAACTGGAATTACAGATAACTGTGGCACAGTATGTGGGTGCTAAGAGCCAAATCAGGATCCTTTAAATGCAATATCCATTCATCACTTCTAAACCACCTCTTTGGCCCTAGATATGTGTAATTTAATTATTCATACATTGTCTTCCAAATGTATTGGACCAACATACTTTTCAATGATTTCTAAGTAATGATTTAAGTACCAATTATTGAAGTGCCTGCAGACTATCCGGTTCCTCTACCCATTACAGATGCTGGGCAGGACGATTCGTTCCTGCTACTGTCCACAACAGCCTCCCAGTGTGATGCTTCAAGGATCTGGAGATGTCAACCCTCTGTAAGGATTGAAGATGACAATCGATTTCCCACCATCCCATTTTGGAGAGGACACATTCAAACCCCAGCATTGCTACAACAAATGGGAATGGCAAGCTCAGTGCCTATGTGAAAAACTCATGTGCTCACACAAAGTCCGTTCTAGATTCTAAAACACTGCTGAAAGGAGCTTGCTTTCCTGAGGTGATTAAGGAGCCCTACCTGCCTCTGTCAGGTAGTTCTGCCCTCTCAACACATGGTTTCTGGCAGGAGAGAGATGAGGGGTTACATAAGCAGCCTTAAGAGCCTTTAAGAACCTTGGCCAGGAAGTAACATATATGGCTTTGCTCAAAGCACATGCACCACAGCTAGTCAACAGCCACATCCGAGGATTTTGGTGACAGTTTAATTTAAAAGGCTCCAATTCACCAAACATTAAACAGCTGACATCATTAAGGTTTATTATTAACACATTTGAATGATGGCTGCTCATAGATATACAGCATGGTGACAAATGCATACAGATGATAAACTGATGTGGCATTTATTCAATTATATCTCTAACAAAATTGTATCAAGTAACATACAATGTTATGGGCATCAGAGGCCCCTCCCAATGGCCTTAGATGTCATCAGCAAATCTATACCCCAGCCCCAACTTCAGGTTTCCTTGAAAAGACTTAACAAAAATATAAACATCGGATTGTCTATCTCCAGTCTTGCCCTACTGTGCTCAGACAGATGTGTGTCACTTGGCAGCCCATGTAGAGACAGCTCCTGCCAGATGGTGTCTTTTTTTAAGTGGACACAACTTGGCACCTGACATTTCTACCTCTGCTGTTTCTAATCATTTCTTGCCTGGGCATATCAGGGTCAGGCTTAAAGACCTGCTAGAACTGGACTCAAGATTGATGAGAACAAGATGTAACTAGGCCTCTCCCAGAGGTTTGGGAAGAGCAGCTGGAGTCTGGCCCTGCACATCACAACAAAGACCATTAAAACCAGAGAAATTACAAGAGGGGGGGGGGGGGGGGGGGGGGGGGGGGAGGGAGGGGGGGAGGGAGGGAGGGAGGGAGGGAGAGAGAGGTGAAAGGGGAGAGGGAGGAGGGGAGGGGGAGAGGGAGAGAGAGATACAGAGAGAGAGAGAGACAGAGAGACACAGAGAGAGAGACACACAGAGAGACACAGAGAGAGACAGAGAGATGCAGAGAAGAGAGCAAAGTCATCCAAAGGGTACCGAGGGCTCCTCACAGGGGACACCTTTAAAGGAGAGTTGAGCGCTCCCTCATCCTCAGCTTCACTCACACTTTGGACTCTGTAAACAAGGAACAGAAATTACTAGGCTGGAACTGTGAGTCCTTCACCTTGGCCGTTTCCTCGTGGAGTTGAATCATTCCCACTCAAAGCATGAGAGAGCCCCTCCCCCTTTTATTTTTGTTCTTCAGCGCCCACTCTGTGATGACATAATGGAGCATGGCTGAGTTTTTGGGGGAGTGTGCTAGAGAGGGTCCTAGACAGGAAGGAGAAGTTTCCGTTCTGTTCTCCAGTAATGGAACATCCATTCCCATAGCCGGGAAAGAGAAGGCCCAGAAGTTCAGACAAATGCCCTGGCAGGGACTGATTGCTTGGGCTGGGCACTCCAAAGTTCACCTTGTTTCTCCTCCTAAGTGACGTTGCCCCTGCCCCCACCTGTCCCCTCCAAGACCATCTATAACGAAGAGCTCATCACTCATCACCAGAGAGATCTGGTTTCTTTCAGCCAATCCTGCAGCCACACCTCCCTTCTCATGAAGCACAGACCAGGCTCTGTCAGCCAAGTGTGGGCATCTGCACGAAGAACTATTGGCCTCAAGCCCTGAGGCAGGCACTCTGGGAAGTCCTGGGCTTGCCTGACCTTCAGTTCTGCTGTCTACTTGAAGGGCCAATTTTTCTAGGTGTTTATAAAATAAATTTTGAGTTTCCTTTTAATGCTGAGTTTTAGTTTGTGAACACATTGGAAGCATGGGGAGGGTAGGTTGGGAGAAAGCTTTGAATAAAAACATTCAAAAGAACACCATATGTTTGACCTCTTTCTCCTAAGTTCAACACACACACACATACACACTCATTCCTGACTCATTTGTTTAATTCTTTTATTTTGCATCTTTTCCTCACTGTTATCTGCTATTATAAATTGTAAAATTGCTTTTATTAAAAAAACATTCAATTTCTTCAAAAATTATAGCTAATATATACAGATACACTTTGCATGCAATTTTGTAATCACTTGAGAGTACCTAATATGTACTGCAAATAAACTCATTTCAAAGTAATTTTATTACGTTCCTATAAAAGCAATTTAACTGGAAACTCTTTATTAATGATGACCTTTGCCTGCTAGGTCAATGGAAACCATGCTTGAGCCCTGAGCTGAAAGCAACTGTTAACTAAATCTATGTTGCTGCAAAACGGGTCTTCATTCCATGTGAAATTTATGAACCTTGATTCATTAAAGACTTTATCTTGCTCTCTTACTATAGATGGATGTTTTACACTTATTTATTTGTGTGTGTGTGTGTGTGTGTATGTTTGTGTGATAATGAACATGCCATGGAGAATACCTTTGGGAGTCAATTTTCTCTTGCCACCACGTGACTATCAGGGATCAATCCCTGGCCATCAGACAAAGCAGCAGGCCCCTTTGCCCTGGGCCTTTGAACCCTGATGATGAAATAGTTCTCAAGTATAGCTGGGAGTCTCTTGGCCAAGGGATTTTCCGGGAACACTCAACTTCCCAAGTGACCCACATCTCTCTGAAGAAGTCTCAGCGAGGACAGCACGATCTGGAAGTTGTGAAGAGGTTGGATCTAAGCAGAAGTCTGGCCAGCTGCCGCCATCTTCAAGGCTCCTCCTGCAGGTGGCATATGTTGCAACAAAGGCAAGGATTGATCTGCTGCCTTCCTATAACTCAGGCCAGGAGTCTCGGGGAACTCACTGCCTGTGTCTAGATTGATTTTAAGGGTGACTCCCTTCGGCCACATTAGCACCTTAATTCTTCTTGCTAACTGATCCTTTCCCTTGACTGCTTGATCGACTCAGAATCAATTTTTCTTTTAATCTTCTCTCACTTTCCCTCCTCCTCTCCTATCCTTTCTCTCCCCTCCCCTTCTCTCTGACCTTTCTTCCCCCCCCCATCTTTCCCTCGCCCTGTGCTGTTTTGTTTGTGGCAGGGTCTCACTTTGCAGAGGACTACAAAGCTACAAAGCTAGTCTGCTCAACTCCCCATCTAGATGAGACAGGAGTGTCAGTCTCCTGATGGATGAACGAAGCTGTCACACCATTCAGTCGGTGTACCACCTCTGGGACACTGAATGTGCTAGGTCAATGCATATGGCCTGCCCTTTTTTCCCAGGTCTTCTTTAATTTCTTGTAAAAGAAACTGCTATCATTAGGATGATACATTTCTTTTGTTAAAGGTCTGCAAAGGTTTGCTTCTATAATCAATTTTTTGGCTATCACTTCAGAATATTCAGAATAGATGGTATATTGAAATCTAATTCACTTTTCAGCAGTATCTTACATTGAAGAGAATTGTTGCACGTTTGATTACTTTTATGTATTTGTCTTTTTGATCCCTGGGATATTCCAATATACAAGATCATGCCATTTGCTATAATATATATATTTATATGGTTTTATATATATATATATGGTTATTTTTGTTATTAGAGGTAGAATTATGTTTGTATAGCTATCTTCTTTTGGGGTTTTGGAAGGTTACTTCCTTGCTTTTTCTAGGTTGTAGTTTCCCTCCTTGTGTTGGCGTTTTCCATCAATTATCCTTTGAAGTGCTGGGTTTGTGGGAAGATATTGTGCAAATTTGGTTTTGTCATGGAATATCTTGGTTTCACCATCTATAGTGATTGAGAGTTTTGCTGGGTATAGTAATCTGGGCTGGCAATTGTGTTCTCTTAGTGTCTGTATGATGTCAGTCCAGGCTCTTCTGGCTTTTATAGTCTCTGGTGAGAAGTCTGGTGTAATTCTTATAGGTCTGCCTTTATATGTTACTTGACCTTTTTCCCTTACTGCTTTTAGTATTTTTTCTTTGTTTTGTACATTTGATGTTTTGATTATTACGTGATGGGAGGTATTTCTTTTATGGTCTAGTCTATTTGGTGTTCTGTAGGCTTCTTGTATGCTTATGGACATCTTGTTCTTTAGGTTAGGGAAGTTTTCCTCAATAATTTTGTTGAAGATATTTACTGGCCCTTTAATTTGGGAATCTTCATTCTCATCTATACCTATTATCCTTAGGTTTGGTCTTCTCATTGTGTCCTGGATTTCCTGGATGTTTTGGGTTAGGAGTTTTTTGCATTTTGCATTTTCATTAACAACTGTGTCAATATTTTCCATGGTATCTTCTGCACTTGACATTCTCACTTCTATCTCCTGTATTCGGTTGGTGATGCTTGCGTCTATGACTCCTGATCTCTTTCCTAGGTTTTCTATCTCCATGGTTGTCTCCCTTTGAGATTTCTCTATTGTTTCTATTTCTATTTTCAGATCCTGAATGTTTTTGTTTAATTCCTTGTGTTTTCTTGCAGTTCTTTAAGGGATTTCTGTTTCCTCTTTAAGGGCTTCTACCTGTTTACTTGTACTCTCCTGTATTTCTTTAAGGGAGTTACTTATGTCCTTCTTAAAATCCTCTATCATCATCATGAGAAGTGATTTTAATTCTGAATCCTGCTTTTCTGGTGTGATGGGGTGTCCAGGGCTTGCTATATTGGGAGAACTGGGTACTGATGATGCCAAGTAACTTTGGTTTCTGTTGCTTATGTTCTTGCGCTTGCCTTTTGCCATCTGGTTAACTCTAGTGTTACCTGCCCTCACTTTGTAAGACTGGAGTCTGTATTTCCGGTTATCTTGCTTGTGGCAGAGCTCCTCAGAGTCCAGATGTCTCTCTGGTCTTATGATCCTAATCTCCTGGGTGGAAGAACTCCTGGGACTCGGGCCACCTCTTGGATCTGGAAATCCTTCTGCTCTGGGTGCAGTGGTTCCTCTAGGATGGCTCAGGATACGATGTCTCCCAAGTGCAAACCAGCTAGGTGTCTGCTGCTCTGAGTGCAGTGGCTCCTCTAGGATGGCTCAGGATTCAGTATCTCCACAGGAGCAGACCAACTCTGTGTCTGCCCCAGCCAAAAAGACCAGGCAGGGGCAGAAGGGAAGTGGAATTCCAGAGGGGCAGAGTTTGGGTAGCTGGTGGGTCCTGAGTGTCCCTGGCTCCCAGATGTAACTCTGGGGCTTAGGGAGTGAGATGGAGTTCTTACCGGCTGCTCTGAGTGCAGTGGTTCCTCTAGGATGGCTCAGGATTCAGTATCTCCACAGGAGCAGACCAACTCTGTGTCTGCCCCAGCCAAAAGGGGAACACTGTATTTTTGATTAATATATATGGTGTTTGAATTGAGATGAAGTGTAAGTATAAAACACTGAATTTTCAAGTTTTAGTTGAAAAGAGAAATTTAAATATCACGTCCATAGTTTTATAATAAAACTGTCTACATGCTGAAATGGTAACTTGGGTAGATTAAAGCAAGTATTAGTAACTCTAACCCCATAAGTGTGTTTTTATTTTCTTCAGTGTAGCTATCAAAAAATTTACAACTATATGTATGACTCATAATTTCTGGACAGAACTGATCTTGAGAGCATATGCTCCCAGAATCCCAGACAAGGTGAGAATCTAGAAATAAGTACCTAAGAGCTATTTCTATGGCAATCTCACACTCAGAATAAACTCAAAAAGTATCTTTTAAAGGTTCTGGTAAAGTACCCTGAAGAAATCAAAAGAAATAATGTTGAATTTCTCATCCAGTCCAGGTTGACCACACTCAGGAGAGTCCTTTCAGATTTGGAACCCACAATAAAACAGAGTATACAAAGTTCAAAGCAAGTAAAAACCAAAACAACAGCAACCAAATAAAAAAAAAACAAAAATAAATTACTAAATTGTCAGAGGGGTGATACTGGAGGAGGGAAGTATCAAAGGTTGACACCCAAGAAAGGACTAAAGATGATAAGAATTAGATGTCATGATAAAGAGGATTGTCATTAGAAGTAATGGGACAATGGTAAGAAAAGAATATGTAGGCAGGAGACATCTCAAGATAAGAGAAAACTGGGAATGGGGAGGGGCCTGAACCAGTTTTGACAGAAGAATGGGAGACTTCATCTACGGAAGAAAGCTTGTAAGCTCTGATTTCTAATTCCCGGCATTGAATTAATTTTCTGATGGCTTTGGGTGCTTCAGACAGACAAGAATGTGAAATGACTCTGTGATGGTCATTCTTGGTTGTCAACTTGAATACATCTAGAATTAATTAAAAACCAAAGGCTGGGATTATTTTTTCTTAATTAACTCATTTGAAGAGGGAAGACACAATTTTAACCTGGATCTTTTGAGATGGAAAGATCCACCTTTAATATGGGTCATACCATCTACTGCCAGTCTATAGAAAGGATGTGGAAGAAGGAAGCTTGCTCTCCTTGCCTGCTTGCTCTCATTCTTACTAGCAAGTCCATTCTTCGCTGCTACTGGATCCTACTTCTTTGGGATTCTGATTTACACTACAGCCAGCTGAGACATTCAGCCGTGTGGACTGAATATCTCTTGGATTACTGGATCTTCCATTGCTAGACAGACATATTTAGACTAACTGGACTACAGCCTGTAAGCCATTAAATCATGTGTGCCTCTAGAAAACCCTAACTAATACAACTTTTGGTATCAGAAGTAGTTATAGAGCAAAAGAATTATAAGGATAATTTTTTAAGTATCTGGAATAGGCTTTCTAATTTTCCAACTCCTACAGTTAGTGAAGCTTCTCCAGTTACTAAAGCTTCTCCTAAATGCTCAGAGAGTAATGAAAGCACTATTTTATAAACTTAAGGAGACATGTGCATTTGAAAACCCTGATTCGACAGTTGTAAGTAGCAACAGACTTGGTCACTTTTTGTATAAAACTTTTGACAATTTGTGGGAAAAGATTGGAAATAATGACGCTGGTAGAGATGCTCCTAGCATCTCTGGATGAACTGACAAAGGAAAAGAATGAGCTCCATGATAAAATTAACCAGCTTGTAGCATCTCAGAATTCAGTGAAGGACCACAATGAACTCAGTGATAAAATTGACAGACTTTGATATGAACAAACATTCTAAATGTTCCTAAGTGCACCCTGGAAGAGAATCTCTCCAGGAGCAGAAGAGCTCAAGTTGTGGAAAATAAAATTGAAGCCATCATCTTAAGTTTGGCTGAATTACAGTAAAAAATTTCGAGTTTCAGCTTCAGAGGTAGGTTGCCAGCAGTTAAAGTAGGGCTGGATGCCCCAGTGTAGAGGAATTTGAGGGAGGGGAGGTGGGAGTGGGTGAGTTGGTGGGTGGGGCACACCCTCATAGAAGCAGGGGAGATGGGATAGGGGTTTCTGGATGGGGTGGGGGGAAATGGGGAAGTGATATAACATCTGAAATGTAAATAAAATATCCAATGAAATAAAAAAGAATGAGATCTTGTAACTTGGAATGGAGATGTATGGAAGGTCCCTAGTGAATCTTAGAACTTTGAACTCTCAGATTCTTAAGAGGTTATCTCACCCGAGGAAGTAGTCTCTCCACCTTCAACAGAAGCCATACTCTCATCCTATCCTTGAAATATTGCCTTTTCCACCTCCGACTGAGAAAATTAATCCTTTATCGTCTGATTAACTAACAGTCCTTCTGAAGGAGATGTCAAGGAAGACCATATTTATATATATCAGTCAGCTTTGACCAATAGTTGCTTCTAGACCTATATCCAGACCTAAAGTAAAGCAGGGTCCAATCTGGGTGACAGAAGTCCATAAGGAGACATGCTATACTACT